AAGTTGCTATCATGTAAACGGACAAAGGGGCAGGGTAGGGGCCTCCCTCCCTTCGCTCTTTTGGGCACTTTTAGAAGAAAAGGGCTGGGAATTTAAAGCCAAGCATGCCCCACAGGCCCTGCCTCGTCCACCCACACTGACAGCTCTGGGATGGGCAGCGATTTGGCTTTCCTGGCTGGCTGTGCTCCTGATCCCCATCTGCTCTTCCCTTCCTGCTGCAGCTGGTGGCAGAGAGAAAGACAAACAGGTTGAGTCACTGCTGCTTGTCCCCCTTCCTCAGCCTGCATCTTCCCCCTGCCTAGACCTGCCTGTCATGGCTGCCAGTAGAGGGTGACAGCCAGAGGCTGCGAGGGTTTGCTGCCCAGATAACCCCTCCTACCCACCCACTCAGTCAGATTGTGCAAGTGCTTGGCCTCCCAGCAGTGGGGAGGGAGAAGAGGGCATCTGCTAGCAGAGAGGGGCAAGTGTGAGGTTGGTGCTTTTGGGACAAGGTGAGCCGGGAAGCGTCTGGGTTTGGTTCACCTGGCTTCTCTTCCTCTCGCTGCCGTGTGTCCTCCAACTGGCATAGATGGCAACTACGGCCTCAACATATGTTGCCAGTGCTTCTGCTAATATGCCGAGGACATCGGTTTCATTAAGGTGAGGGGGAGGGTGGCTGTGTAGGCTCAAGCCATGCACTTTTGGTTACCTACTGCCACTGCCGGTTGACACCCCCTTCATTGCCCAGAATTCTCCGGCAATGCCTATGACATCTCCTGGCTCTAATGGTCATGTGCAGGTTAGGGAAATAAATATGAAAACATGTGTAATGTACAGAAGTTATAGTTAAATGTGTGNCAACAGTCATAAGTGTGAAAACTGGTCATAAGTCACTTTTTTCCAGTGCCGTTGTAAGTTTGAACGGTCACTAAATGAAAGGTTGTAAGTTGAGGACTGCCTGTATTATAAAGACCCCTTTTAAGAGCTGTGGTGTGACGCAGTGGTAAGAATGCAATACTGCAGGCTACTTCTGCTGACTGACTGCCGTTAGCAGTTTGACAGTTTGATCCTGATCAGAAGGAAGCATCTTGAAGCACCAAGTTCTGTGGGGAAACTTAAGCGCCTCACTAAGGGGACTGATGGGGACAGTACATGAAAGCAATTCCGGTCCCCTTCCAACGTCTGGCCCTCCATCCATTCCTCATTTTCTCTGCAAAGATGATCTCAATCATTTCAGAAGTCAGAAAGAGCCAAAAAGCTCTGCTCCTGAGCCAATGTGGGGAATGGAATAGATGTGCATTAAAAAAAAAAAGCTCTGGGCAGGCAGACACTGAGAGGGACTGGATTGGTTACCTACCGATCCACACATCCAGGGCTGTTTTTAAAAAAGCAGCCACAAGGATGTGGGAGAAGCTCCACCTCTTTCCTCTGCGCAATGCAAAATAAGAATTGCAACCACATCATTGTGGCTACCAGCTTGACTTTTGTCGGCCACACCCTGGGGAGACCCTTGCACACATCCCAAACCACAGTCTCCGGTTGCCTTTGACGCAGCAACCCCACTTGATTCAGTGGGGAGAAACAAGGCTTCCGGCAGAAAGACGGGTCTGTTTCTGGCAGGGACGAAACTGGCCAATGACCCCAAATAAATCGAACCGCTTGAAAGTCGCTGCGGGAAGGAGGCAAAGGCCAAATCTCACCATCCTCATCCGGAAGCTCCTCTGGGCTGAGCTCCACCAACTCAAAGCTGTGTTTGATGCACCACTCTTGCGCTTTCTGCCGGCTGATGCCTACAAGGAGGAGAGGAAAGGGATTATTTGGCCAGGAAGGGTTTCCACCGCTCTGGGCATCGGTGGGAGAAAACTGGAGGGGATGCATGGCTGAAAACTCTTGGAACGTTTTGGGGGGAACGCTGTATGCGGACAAACTGATCAGCATGGGAATGCTTGTTACTGGACAGAGGAAAAATGCAACAAGTAAAATATTGGGATGATCTGCTAAAACTGGAAATGTTAAAAGAAACTGGAAATGAACAGGAAGGCCTAAAAGCCTATAGCAATTCTGTCATCCAGCTCACGGTTGTCCCAATGGTGCTTTTTCAGGAGGCAACTGGACTTTCTTGTTTTTTCTTTTGAAGACGTTTCGCTCCTCATCCAAGAAGCTTCTTCAGCTCTGATTGGATGGTGGGGAAATGGAAGGTTTCATGCTCCTTGCAGACAGCTGGTCATTTGCATCCTTTTTGAAGCACTAGGATGTTTCCAGAGGAAAAAAATGCAGACCACAGGAACCATTTGCACCACTCAGGTGACCCTGGGGACACAGAGAAACCTCCAAGTGCTTCAAGGACCTTCTAAAACAGGGGTGTCCAAACTTGGGAACTTTAAGACTTGTGGACTTCAACTCCCAGAATTCCCCCGTCTTAAAGTTCCCAAGTTTGGACACCCCTGCTCTAAAGGGATGCAAATGACCAGCTGTGTCAGCATTCCAAATATCATGCAGAATTAAATCAGAGTCCAAGGT